CCCCCCCCCCCCCCCGGCCCCCCCCCCCCCCCCCCCCCCCCCCCCCGTCTTCCTCTTTCCCTCCCTCCCTCCCTCCCTCCCAGCGGGGTCCGGCGGCGGCGGGGAGCGCCCGGCCAGGTGAGAGAGCCGCGCAGGGGCGTCGCCACCCGCCCAGCAAGTCCAGCTCAGGGCGGCCGGCCAGGGAAACAGGTTCTTGGGCCCTCGGCCATCTTGGCGGGGGGACGGCGAGGGGGAAACTTCGGCCGGCCATTTCGGGGAGAGGGCGAAGCCGCCAGCGGGAGACGGAGACGGACGGACACAGACCGAGACAGAGAGACCGTCGGTCCGTCCCTCCGTCCGTCTCTCCCTCCGTCGGGCGGGCAGCAGCCGAAGGAAGCCTTGGCGGAGCCCCCCGAACCCACCCGCTCGCCCACCCCCGCCCGCTCACTCACCGGAAAGGCAGCCCCAGAGGAGGCTCGCCCAAGCGCACGGCCGCCGCGGCGAGCCCATGGGGCGGCGGAGGAGGAGGAGGAGGAGAAGGCGGCGAGCGGGCGGCGGGTCCTCTGCGGCCGGGTCCGAGGCGAGGCTGAGCTGCGCCGCGTCTTTTCGGCTCCGGAGCGGCCGCTTCTGCTTCGGCTTCTTCTTCCCAGCTGGGTTGCCGCTTCCGCCGCTTCTGCCTCGCGAGCAACTCTGGCCGCTCAGGGCGCCTCGGGCACCCCTCCGTGGGGAGGGGGGCGGGGCGGAGCGGAGGCCACGCCCACCCCAGGTGCCACCCCCCCACCCCTCCGCACGCTGGGTGTATGTGTGTATATATATATATATATATGTGTACACACACACACACACACACACACACATCCTCCCCTCTTTCGCGGAACAGCGCCAGTCCACCTGGGCAGCCGGCAGGTGAGCTTGTTGGCCGGCTGCGGGGACCCGGCCGCGGTGTTTGAGGCACCTGGCCTTGTTCCGGGGTTGGGTAGGTGGGTAAGCAACAGGGCTTCGACTTATAGACTGCTTTATAGACCGAGTCGGCCTCTGGCCCCAACAATCTGGGCCCTCGTGTTTTTTACCGACCTCAGAAGGATGGGAGGCTGAGGGCAACCTTCAGCCTGGTGAGAATCGAACTGCTGGCAGTTGGCAGAGTTAGCCTCCAATACTGCATTCTAACAGGAAGGAAGGAGGGAAGGAAGGAAGGAAGCGCAATAAGTCTTGCATACGGCTTTACGGCGCTTTATAGCCCTTTCTAAGCAATTTACAGAGTCAGCCTCTTGCCCCCAACAATCTGGGTCCTCATTTTATCCACCTCGGAAGGAAGGAAGGAAAAAGGATTAGCACTTAGTCTTATAGACCACTTCACAGTGCTTTTACAGCCCTCTCTAAGTGGACTGAGTCAACCTTGAGCCGGTCAGGATCAAACTGCTGGCAGTGGACAGAGTTAGCTTGCAATGCTGCTTTCTAATCATTGTGCACAACGGGAGGGAAGGAAGGAAAGGAACAGCAATAACATTTAGACTTATATACCACTTCACAGTGCTTTTAGAGTCCTCCCTAAGTGATTTACAGAGTTGGCCTCTTGCCCCCAACAATCTGCCTGGGTTTGCATGCTAAGCCACGCTCTGTCGTGGTTTACCGGGCCAAAGGAATGCGTTTGCAACAATGAATTATACAGATTGTCCTTGATTTAGGACCGTTTAGCGAGCTTCGAAGCACAGCTGGCTGGGGAATTCTGGGAGTTGGAGTCCAGACATCTTCAAGTTGGTAAAGTTGAGAAAACCTGAGGCACACAAGTGTAAAATTTACCTGCCAGGCACCAAGGAACATTTCCAAGATTTAGTCTCCTGACAACGTTCCTACGGGATAGACCAAGTTGCCCTAGTTATTTACTACGGAGAGTAGCATTTTCTAACGCTCTCACATTGCTGTTTCCATTTCCCTGCAAGTAGAAAAACTAGCACAGCAAGGAAGCTGGGTGACGGATACGTGTTTTCCCTGATAAGCTACATTTCCACACTGGGACTGGTTTTCAACCCAGGGCAATCTTCAGAAATGCTAGTTGAGGGAGGGAAACGGTTGTCTCAAGAGGTCTGCAGGTCATTTTCTTAGAGTATTAATTTTTATTTCTGGAATCTGAATAAAATTCATTTTTCCACCTCTTTTGGTCACTCCGGAGACATCTAGCTGATTTTACAATCATCCAACGCCCTCTAGTGGTC